TTTACATTGAAATACATAAGAAAAATCTTTAAAAATCTTCTTCTCAAGAACCACAGGGCCAGAAAAGCTGAAACTTATATGGAAGCATCTTGGGGTAGTGTAGATTATAAATTGTTCAAATCATGACCCCCGGGGGTAGGGCAGGGCCACAATAGGGAATCCAAGTTTTACATTGAAATATATAGGAAAAATCTTAAAAAATCTTCTTCTCAAGAACCACTGGGCCAGAAAAGCTGAAACTTATATGGAAGCATCCTGGGGTAGTGTAGATTATATACTGTTCAAATCATGACCCCCGGGGGTAGGGCAGGGCCACAGTAGGGAATCCAAGTTTTACATTGAAATACATAAGAAAAATCTTTAAAAATCTTCTTTCAAGAACCACTGGACCAATAAAGCTGAAACATATTTGGAAGCATCCTGGGGTAGTGTAGATTCTAAATTGTTCAAATTTTGACCCCCGGGGGTAGGGCGGGGCCACAATAGGTATATTAAAAGGGGGGAAATCTGGTAAAGAACAGCATAGCCAAAGTTACTCAGGTGAGCGATGTGGCCCATGGGCCTCTTGTTATAATCTGTTACTTCATGTATATGAAATTAATACAATTTCATGTGTATATTATAAAACATGTTAGTTTTTAAACATGTTTTTTGGAAGATATCCAAAATCTAAATTTTTTTGGTTCATGGTCTTAGGGCCAAGTATATGCTGATCAACCCAAGTTCAAAATTTGTCTTTTTAATTACTGAAACACTGTACCAAGTTGAAGATACTAGGACAATCATATAAAAAAGTATTTGGGAAAACAGAAAAAGTGGACATTTTGAATGATAGACAGATTGAATGCTATAGGGCACTCGCAAATCCTAATTGCGGAGCCCAAATATCAATTTCCACAAAACAATTGAATGACCTGCCATTCAAATTATTGTTGATATAATGTCAAGTTTTATTGAGTACTTCAGTTTTCACGGCAGATTTAAACACTACCAACCTGTCCCTATATCCCAATTATAGCTGTTAAAACAAGATGTGTTTGTGAAACACAGATGATAAAATTAAGGTCTTAAAGTAGGTCAAATGCCAAGATCATGAGGTAAAAAATGTTGGTACCCAAAGATTTTTTCACAAGGAATATACCCATGAAATATGAAAGCCCTAGCAACAACTGTTTAAAAGTTATGGCCAAGGTAAAAGTCTTTCAAAAGTAGGCCAAACTTTAAGGTCAAGGCCATGAGGTTAAAAATTTTGGTACGAGGGGAAAGAAATGTCACAAGGACTATACTTGAGAAATATGAAAGGACTAACACCAATCATTCAGAAGTTATGACCAAGGTTAAAGTTTCTTAAAAGTAGGTCAAAACTCTAAGGTCAAAGTCGGGAGGTCAAAAATGTTGGTACCCAAAGAAAGGTCTTGACACAAGGAATACACATGAAATATTTCAGTCCCAACACCAACTGATCAAAAACAAGAAGTCTATGAGCAAACACTCACTAGTAATACTCCCGCTCTGATGTGAATGTACACTCTGATGTGAATGTACACAAGCTCAGTCACAGACAGACACAGGGATCAATAGGAAGTTGACATCAGATTTGTACAAAAATGAATCCCACCATATTGCATGCCTACACAAAGAGTGTGCTAAAATTTCATGCATCTGCAATGAGTAATTGTTGAGAAAACTGCAACGAAAATTTGTTACATATTGTAGACACAGGGATAAACAGGAAGTTTACATCGGATTCAATCAGATATAAAATCGACTATATGGCATGGCTAACCAAAGAGTGTGTTAAAATTTCAAGCATCTGCAATGAGTAGTTGCTGAGAAAACTGTGATGAAAATTTGTTATGTATGGTACGGACAGATGCACAGATAAACACGAAATTGACATTACATTCATACAAAAATGAATCCCACCATATGGCATGCCTAAACAAAGGGTGTGCTAAAATTACAAGCATTTGTGATGGGTAGTTGCTGAGAAAACTGCAATGAAATATTTGTTACAGACAGACACACACACAGACAGACACACAAGGGTAAAACAGTATACCCCCCTCTCCTTCGGAGCAGGGGTATAATAATTATGGCTAAGATGAAAGCTTTTGCAGACAGACCTAAAACTATATGGCCCATAATATATGATTATGACAATACTGAGATCTTTTACAACTATACTCTGCCTTCGTAGTGGACATAGCAGTTGAGGAGTACTCGAGTTAAACTGTTTGTAAAAAAAAAAATCATTTTATGAGATTTATCAGTTTTTAATGCTGTCTTATGATTTAGACATAACATTCTTTCACAAATTATACTGATGAATACAAGGTGTGAAATTTGCTGATTGAATCAACACTAAAACACATTTCTTTCAGTTCTGTTTTTTTTTTTCAATAAAAAGCCAATGATTGACAATTTTAGTAACTGTGCGGGAGTAGTGTGTTCATCTGGACAGCTTTCTGTAAAATATAAAATGAAATCTTTTAACATAAATTTACAAACCACATTTAAACAATACTGCAGAAATTATAGAAAAGTCATATGCATATACATGTAATTGTTTTAAATACCCAGTAAATCACATCTTCTGCAAGCACCTGCCTATAATGAAGTCATTTTTCCCACTATACATTAAGGCAATACATTATCTCATATCCTGGACTTATATAGATACATAACTACAGCTAGCCCAGTATTCATTATAACCTAATTCAGTGACTTGCCTTGTTTTCCTCCAGTGTCGCTGTCCAATCCTCCCCAGCGATGACTGGAATGGCTTTCAGGATTGTTTTAGTTGCATTAGCAGCATTTATCTGGAATGTCTTCAGCACATTCTCAACATTCACCTGTAAAATTTGAAACTTTTTCTTTAACTTCAACATAAGAAAAGCTCATCAGACTCACCTTGACAAGTCTCACACAAATGAATCTTTGGGTAGTGTTCATCCCTAGATGCAACATCCATGCAAATTACGTCTAGGTAGGGCTTATAAATTTACATGGGACTTACTCTGAGGCTGTTAAATCATGTGGAATTTGAATGGAAATATAGGTCAGACATAGTATCCATGCAAGTCTGGTAATGTGCATCCTTAGATGCATTGGTACAAGTTTGGTCGAAGTAGGGGCTGACCTGCTCTGAAGCTGTTAAATCATGTGGAATTTGAATGGAAATATAGGTCAGACACAGTATCCATGTAGGTTTGGTAATGTGGATGCATTGGTACAAGTTTGGTAGAGGTAGGGCTTATAGTTCCATTGTATTTGGACATGAAATTTATTTTTAGTACTTACAGCTTCTTCGTCATCCTTCCAGCTGTCGTAATCTGTAACCAATGCCAAAGCTGCGTAACACAATCCTAATTCCTTTGCAAGGATCACCTGTTTTAAAAAAAAAATAAACACATAAATAAACTAAACCTATTTTAGGGTTACAGTTGGTGGACCAAAAAAAAAAAACCACACAGAGGAAAAATCTCGCAATTTCATGTACATTTTTGTACTTTCATGAAGACAGAATTAAGAACTGAACACTAATTAGCTCCCTTGTCACCAATGGAAATAGAGAGAATTAACACAGAACTATGCAGCAAGATGATTATACCTCTGGTACAGTTGTCATGTTTACACAGTGTGCCCCCCAGGAATTCCAAAGCTTACTCTCTGCTCTAGAGGAGAAGCGAGGACCCTCTATTGTTAAAATGGTTCCCTTCTCATGACAACTTATACCAAGATCTTTAGCACATTTGTATAAAATCTGTAGAAAACAAAGAAATGACATCAATTAATGCAAAATGAAAATACTGAATTCAACATCTTTAAACATCATGAGCAATTACTATAGTGTTTTAACATTTTTAAATACAGTCAAACACCTTTATCTGGAACTCAATGGGACCGAGAAAAAAAAACTTTGAGATACCGAGGATTCTTGATATCAAATTTAAAATACATAGAGAAATTGGGATTCCCAACTCATTTCAATATATTCATGGTATTTGAGATATCAGTGTTTGAGAGGGAAGTTCAACTGTATTTCTGTCAACTACATCATTATTTTAGTCAGATGGCTGATGTAGGCCTACATCCCTTTCACAATTTATTCAAAGATCAACCTAATTATAATTAAATCTTTTGAAGCAATCACACAGCAACCTAAGTTGTAAGTGGATATTTATATAATTCTAACTATATTTAATAATGATTATCTTTTGAACAACTCATCAGTGGTTTTAAATGCTTGGGGCTACCTTTCTTGTCCTGGGACAGAACGGCTCTGCCATTGGGAGGTGACATATCCCTGGGGGAGAGGTGGGCTCTCCATCAAAAAATGTTTGCTTGCGTTTCTGTGTTCTGAAAAAAAAAAAAAAACATGTAAAAGTATTATTTCATCATTTATTGGGGGTGGGAAGGGTGAAAGTTTAACAAAGAAACAAATGAATATCAAGGGTAAATAGAAGATAAACTACTGTAAAATATGGTTACAGCAAACTTGCTTACAATAAATTCCTGCTTACAATGAAGTGATTTTCATTCCCTCTGGTTAAAATTACATTACAAACTTATCAGATAGAACAGCTTATGTTTACAATGAATCAAAACTGTTTTTCCCTTGCACTTTGCAACCAACATGTTTGACTGTAGCGACACTTTGCTATATGAATGCTTTACTGTAGTGACACTTTGCTATAAGAATGCTTTACCGTAGTGACACTTTGCTATAAGAATGCTTTACTGTAGCGACACTTTGCTATAAGCATGTTTTACTGAGTGACCCTTTGCTATAAGCATGTTTGACTGTAGTGACACTTTGCTCTAAGCATGTTGTACTGTCATTACCTGTCAATGAACTGATCTATGACCACAATGTCTGCAGGGTGCATGCCATGCTGTAAAGAACCACAGGCTGTGGTTACCAGGAGGTGGGTACAGCCGATTTTATGTAGGGCCCAAATATTGGCTCGATAGTTTACATTGGTAGGGTTGATAGTGTGTCCTCTCCCATGTCTGATAATTAATAAAAATACATACACAATGTTTATCTGGAAATCAAAACTTTTTTCTTAAATCATTAATAGTCAAACCTTGTTATCTCGAACATTATGGGTCTGAAAAAAAAAAACAACTGAGATATCAGAGGATTTGAGATTTTGAGGTAAAAATACATAAAGAGTTTGAGATATCCATGTTCAAGATACCAGAGTTTAATTGTATGTGAATTTTTATTCATACTGGATTAATTTTTCTGTTTCTGAAGCACTTGAATATAACCATTTAGTTAAAAAATGGTTATATATTCTTTGTTCCATATTGAAGCACTGTTGTCTGTGTATGTTTATAACCTTTCATTAATAATAACTAAGTTTATTAATTAAATGATCACAGTGCCTATGATCTGAACCACTTTAAAATTCACTATACATAAAAATATTATAAATCACGGGTAATGTTGTTTTCTATCATTTGAAATGTGTACAGACACCCTGAATGCTCTACATGTATCATAACCCTAAAAATTTTCAGGAGTACATTGTATTTAGGAAATGAATTAATAGCTACCCAAGTTATACTGTATAACCTGGGTTAGGGCAGTTTACGCTTTATAAACCGCTGTTTATAAAATGTTGCAACCCAGGTTATACCAGTATAACTTGGGTAGCTATTACATTTATTCCTTATAATTTAATTTTCCATCATCGAGTGCAATTTCTCCTTCAACAGTGCCTTCAAATTGAACATATTTTAAAAGAAAGATCATGCGGATTGATACGTTTTTGACGTAAGTCATTGTGACGTAGGCAACACAGGTTATACAATATAAACTAATTTTTTTTATCCAATCAAATAACACGTTACAACCAAAATTAAATTATTTCAATATATGACCAATTTAGCCCCACCACCGCAAATGAACTCTGGGGTCATGAATTATAATTTCACAATCTTGATAGAGAGTGGACATTTTAATAATGTACTAAATAGTTTACTTGCTGGATGTTAGTGAGTCAAGAAAAATTTTTTGAAGTTGTGTCAAGAGAAAAATTTCAAAGTTGTGACAAAAACAATATTTCAAAGTTGTATTTTCAATATTTAAAAATTTTATTTTTTTTCCCTCTCACCTTGATAAAAGAACACTTGGAACTCCTTCTATTTCACCTGTGATCAAAACATCTGAAGGCTGAATATAAAACAAAGAGTCAGTTATTATCAAAGTAAAACAACAACAGGCCCAGGGACCACATCACTCACCTGAGTCACTTGACTCTCACTGTCTTAGAAATAAATATCTAATAAAGTCCCTCTGCTGGTCCTAGGTAACCAAAGATCAAGACTTCAATTCTTTTAATCAATAGTGTATCTACGAGGGTTGTTCGGAAAGTTCGTGGACTAGCGCCATAAAATTAAAACCGCTTAAGATACATCAATGATTTTTTTAACCTTTAATTAGCATCATCTTATTTGTTTATATAATAAACTATACATCATTAGTTTTATTTTTAAATAAATTGTTCATGTTTTTGAAAGCAATGGTATGTATAGGCGGCGCAACCTCAAAGATTACGTTTTTTCTACCCAAGTGTAACTGAAAAAAAAACCTCATATTTGATATGAGCATTTGTCATTCAAAAATCCCGTTAATTCACTCATTTGGTATGACACAATTGTACTGTAAAATTTGCAATTTTTACCCCATTCTGTAAGTTCTATGAAATTTTATCGTAAAATTTATATGAAATGTTCAAACAATTATGGGGTTGTAATGACGTCAGAATGGGAGATGGGTTTCTCTATCCAACATTCTATGAAGTTTTGCTCTCAGGAAAAACTGGCATAGACCTAAGAAATATTTAAATGGGCTACTGAAAAATAAAATGCATTCACAATACTTGTTTTTAAACACCGAAAAAGATTAGAGAGACGACAGATGTAAAAGTTAATGTCGATTTGTAGCAAGGGTGTTCAAAGTTTGTCACGTCGAAAAGTGACGTTGATCATATGTGATAGACGTTGAACTCCGACAAGCAAATATGCTGTTATAATCAAGTGAGAATCTTTCAGATCTATTTACAATATTATATGCATTGAGACCAGCTGTTTATGACATTGTAAAATCATATAAACAAGATGGGTTAAAATATTTACTAAACTGCAAGGAATCTCATCAAGATAAGTGTATGAGGTAGAGAATGCGGACATTGAAAAACAATGATGTCATGAAACTATATGGCGACAGCGCTGGGTGATCATATAATGTCTTTTTTATTTTATGATAATTTGATAAATATTCAAGGTATCAAGCTAAAATTTTCAACATTTCTTTAACTTTTGTTGTTTTATGTTCATTAAAAATTTTGTAAGCATAGACTACATAGTATTAATTTTATAGCATCAGTCCACGAACTTTTCAAACAACCCTCGTATATATTGAAGTTTTAATGTCAGTTTCACAATGCATTATGTGGAATCATCATTGTTTGTGGGAGACCAATGTTCATGGAATTTTGCTGGTCACCCTTACTCACGAATTTACATCCCCATGAATGATAACTTTTGACATGTTTCAGTTCATATTTTAATTCTGAATATATGAGTTAACCAGTAAAATTTTGCCTCTAATAACATCTAAGTATATCACATTTATAATCCATTAATCTCTCTTAATTTACACATTTAGTACCTTTACCTCAGCTAGATTTTTAACCTAATATTTCTGTCAAACCTTTCCGTAGGGTGTATCCATGGTAACCTCCTTGCCATTTTTGAGAATTTCTGGTTTAGACAATCCAGACCCTCCAATGATTCCTATCTTTACCTGCAGACAAATAAAAACATAAAACCAGTTCTCTAATATACACCTCCACAACATAAAACTTTACAGTTATTACATGTATTATGATTCTGGGAGTAAAGAAAACATTTTCCAGGATTTTATAGAAATTTCAAACATCTTCCAAGATTTCTGTTAGATTCACACATAAACTTAATAAAATTCTATCTGATTTGAATTATATGCTACCAGGTTTTTTTTTTTCTTAATTTTTTTCTGACATAAATCATAATTTTCAAACATAAATTATAATTGACTGCTAAGATAAATGTGCAACATCTTTTGGTTAGATTTTAATCATATTTTAATCAGTGAATGTGATGATTAATTCTTCTAGTTGTCTTCTTCAAAAAGACTACATCCATTCATATCTATTATGTATCTAATTCCCAGTTCTTAAAAAAATTCCTTCATTCCAATCTCAAAAGTTTATTAAAAAAATTACCCTAGAAGGATAAGTATTGTAAAATCACATATTTTCATGGGGGCAAATTTTCACGGTTTGAGGAAAAAATAATGGTTTGTGGGTTTTTGTTTTCGAGGATGAAGAATTGTTGAGTAGTTATGTATCTGACATTTTACATTACGTGGAGGACATGAATTCATGGGTCTCATCATACCTGGAAAACAACGAGAACTGAACCCCCACAAAAATTAGTGATTTCACAGAATGTTACAAAATATGTTTTTTCGAGTGATTTGTTAGTCAATAAAGGACCATTATTCTGACAAATAAGGTTGAAATTCACGGAAGCTCAATCTTTTCTTCTCCATTCCAATAAACTATTATCACCTGCAAATGGGGTATATGTATCACAGTTTATTCTATATGTAGGAGCATAATCTTTTGCATGCAGGCTACTGACAAACAAGTTGATACAAGGGTATCTACAATCTCGTTTGACATCAACATCTTGCAAATTCTATGGTCGATACTATGACCTTGTTTGCAAACACAATCTCTCATTAGGATGAATGTTTACCGACATCTTTCATGTATGTGTGGATATATTTCCAATACTTTGATTCCCAATTTTAGCCCAACCCCAAAGTCCAAATTTGAAAAGTAAAAACAAAAAAAGAAATTAATACACATAACTTGGGTCATAAGAGTTTGAAGCACAAGTGGGACTTAGGACTGTTCACTGTGCTCGCTATTGATGTCACTTAATATCATGACACTGTTGTTCGTGTGAAGATTTTTTCATGTACCGGTATATCTCTATGTATTTTCCCATGTAAAACCGATTCCCTACTGAGGTCCCCACACTACTCAAGGGATCCTATTTTGAACAATTTAGAATCAATATAATGTTAACAGCTTACAAATAAATTTCATTTTTTCTGCCCCAGTGGTTCTTGAGAATTTTTTTTTAAAATTCCTTAAATTCAAAGTGAAAGTGTGATCTCCTATTGTGGCCCTGCCCTACCCCGGGAGCAATGATTTGAACAATTTAGAATCTACATTATTTCAGGGAGCTTACATATCAATATCATCTTTTCTGGTGTGGTAACCGAGAAGAAGATTTTTAAAGATTTTTCCCTATACAGTAAAACATGACAATAGCAAACATGCATATAATGAATTTATACTTATAGTGAAGTGATTATTACATTCCGCTTAGTTTTAAAACATGTTGTGTACTGAATGGATATAACAATTTATGTTATAATGAAATAAAAAGTTAGTCACTGGCACTTAAATTCACTACAAGTGTGTCTGCTGTATACTTCCTCATCTCCTACTGTGGTCCTTAAATGTGCCAACCTGGGTCATGATTTGAACAATTTAGAATCTATCTTATGTCATGAAGTTTACACACAAATTTCATCTTATCTGGCCTAATGGTTCTTAGAAGATTTTTAAATTTCAGAAAATTAAAAGATTTTTAAACCTTTATATTCCAATGTAAAACTTTTCTCCTTTTGCTCCCCCCCCCCCCCCTTTCATGAGGGACCATGATTTGAATAAATTATTTAGAATCTACATTGTCAGAAAGTTTTCACATAAGTTTCACAGATAGAGGGAATATGGATCTGGATACATGTATTAATAGCATACATAGTATTACTAATTAGTGGGTAATTTATCATTATATAAATTTGATGAATTTAAAGACCAAAACATTAATTGCTTCTACAAATTGACAGCAGAAAAATCTATTACCTTACAGTAACAGAGTATGTCAGACTCGTATCAGTGAATTAATGGTAAATGTGCATGGTGAGGAGGTTAATCAAAAAGTATTATGTGTTTGTGGTGGGGTGGAGGTGGGAGTTGGGGGTCAGATCCAAGTGTAATGGTTTAAGCCGTGGATATCAGCCTGGATAGCTGACAGCTGGAGCACCTGACTAGTGATACAAGCTAGGGTTCCGGGTTGTCAGTCCAGTCATACATTATTCTTCTTTCCTGTTGCATGGTTTGGGACGGTTGTACACCTCTGGACTTGCAAATGTAAAAGTCCTGCCAGGGGCAACATAGAAATTGGATTGTGTTTTCGAGGGCGAGGACAATTTAAGGAGGGAGAGATGCGGTCGTTTGGGCCGTGGATATTGACCTGGATAGCTCAGTTGGAGCACCTGACTTTAATAAGTGATGCAGGTGTCCTGGGTTCGATTCCCGGTCCAGCCCAAACATCAGTTTTCACCTTCCCTGCTACATAAGTATATTCCAAATGAGTGGCGGAAAAGGGAAACATTATGAAGCCGAATACAAATTAATGTACATATTGACCAATTTTAACTCACAAAAACCAACCCAAGTATTACAAATAATGTGATCTAGAAATAAAAAGAGCTACTAGATCTTTTAAGTAAATCATATCTAATTTGAAAGTATTTAAATAAATTTTAAGCTACTTGCTTTGTGCTCTGTTTTTGACATGTTTCCAAAACCGACAACGTGCTGTTTTTTAGTGAACAAAAGTTACCTCCCTATCTACTTTCGTTTTATTTTCTGGCGGGAAATTTAAAATCTACCACTCTTCATGGTATGTAGGAGACACATAACATGACAGTCTGTAGAAGACATGCTCTCACCACAGTCTGTAGAAGACATATGCCCTCACCACAGTCTGTAAGAGACGTATGCCCTCACCACAGTCTGTAGGAGACATATGCTCTCATCATAGTCTGTAGGAGACATATGCTCTCATCATAGTCTGTAGGAGACATATGCTCTCATCATAGTCTGTAGGAGACATATGCTCTCACTAGAGTCTGAAGCCCAGTGTAGGAGACATATGCTCTCACCAGAGTCTGTAGGAGACATATGCTCTCACTAGAGTCTGTAGCCCAGTGTAGGAGACATGTGCTCTCACTAGAGTCTGTAGAAGACATATGCTCTCACCAGTGTCTGTAGGAGACGTATGCTCTGACTATAGAGTCTGTAGGAGACATATGCTCTCACCAGTAATGTATGTAGGAGACATATGCTCTCACTAGAGTCTGTAGGAGACATATGCTCTCACCAGAGTCTGTAGGAGACGTATGCTCTGACTAGAGTCTGTAGGAGACATATGCTCTCACCAGAGTCTGTAGGAGACATATATGCTCTCACCAGTCTGTAGGAAACATATGCTCTCACCATAGTCTGTAGGAGACATATACTCTTATCACAGTCTGTAGGAGACATATGCTCTCACCAGAGTCTGTAGGAGACATATACTTTTGCCAAAGTCTGTCATAGTCATAGACTGTTCCCTCACCATAGTCTGTAGGAGACATATACTCTTTTCACAGTCCATAGGAGACATAAATGCTCTCATAAATATTGAAGGAAATAGTGATTTATCACTACATATAATAGACTCACAGCATCTGACCACAGTCAAGACTCATCATGGGGATGTTCTTTAACTTATACTGTATTATTGTTACTGACCCAACTCCAACTTTCTTATTCCCGTGTCTTATAAGGATGTCCAGAGAAACAAACAATCTAAGAAGGTGTTAGGCTAAACATAGCCTAGCTTCTAACGTTGTCTGCCCGAAGACAACAAGCCTTATAAGGGTGTCTGCCAAAAGACACAACTAGCCTTAAAAATGTGTCCACCCAAAGATAAATAGTCCTATAAGGGTATGTACGTAATGGATAAATAACGAGATGGTGTTGAATAGTTTAGAGAAAACATTCCCTGTTTTCTCTAAACTATTCAACACAATCGAGTTATTTATCTTACTTAAAAAACTTCCCTACTGTGGACCCCAAAGAAACATTTACCCATTCATATATCCAACTTTGCTGTAATACAATAGGATCTAGCCCATTTAGATATCCAACAGTGACACATTACAATAGCCGAATCGAACACCTCTTTTATTCATGGACTAGTGAGCATACTGAATACTTTTGACCTGAAAGCAGAAGAAAACTACAGAATTTTGATAAAAGGTTGGAAATCTATCATTACATATAAGATGATGATTTGTTGGGGAAAAATGTTTGAATCTTATGGAGTTCCACTCAGACAATACTTCTAGTAGTGCTAAAACAGATGAAAAGATTGTCGGTGTTATGCGGAACCTGCTTTAAAAATATTCCATATCAAGATCTGCAATAAAAAAGGTATCAAACATAGATGGGCTGTCAATTTATTAAATTGTTTTGGGAAGTATGCTGGAAAAGTATGAGAACAGAGATGAACCTCGATTAATCTAAGAGGATTTGCTGATAACGGACCCCTGAAATAATATTCAGCAACAGGAAGTGATGTGGTTTAAGGTTCAAGGTGAAAATGTATTTAAAAGCGTGTCAAAATGTGATACTTTCAAAATTTGAAACCGGAAACATTCTGTTAAAAAACCATGGATAAGTATTGGATATTTTATTGACGACAAGAGTCTAACAGTGTGCAAATTCCGAGGAATTGTAATGTTTATGAGCATTGGAAGTACATTTTTAACACGATTCTAAATGGTGTGATAAATACAAAGTGATTAATTCTGTGTGCATTGGACAAATTCTAATAGTGTGACAAATTCGGAGTAATTGTTTTTTATTTGCATTGAAAATACATTTTAAACTCTTTTATCTCTTTTTTTTCATTGCTTAATTATGTTTGTATGCACAGTTGGATATTTAAATATCCAACTGATAGGCAGTTGGATATTTGAATATCCAACTGATGGCCAGTTGGATCTTTAAATATCGAACTAGTGCTGGTTGAATCGGTAAGATATACGTAGACTAATAACAATGGGTGACGTCATTGAAGTTTTTTAACTAAAGATACAACTAGCCTTATTAGGGTGTCTATCCAGAACCAACTAGTCTTAAAAGGGTGTCTGTCCAAAGACCAGACGGGCTTGATAATGATGTCTGCCAAAAGATACAACTAGCCTTATAATGGTGTCAGTCCAAAGACAACTAGCCTTATAATGGTGTCTGCCCACAGACATCAAGCTTTATAAGGCTATCTGCCTAAAAGCACAACTGTCCTTATAAGGGTGTCTGTCCTAAGACACAAATAGCTTTATAAGGATGTCTGACAAAAGACACAATTATCCATATAAGGGTGTCTTTCAAAGATAGCTAACATTATAAGGCTGTCTGCCCAAAGACACAACTATTGTTATAAAGGTGACTTTCAAAGACAACTAGCCTTATAATAGTTCTGTCTAAAAAACATGACTAGCTTTATAAGTTTCTATCCAAAGATACAGCTTATCTGTAAGGAGTCTGCCCAAAAACAACTAGCCTTAGAAGGGGGTTCTGTCCAAAGACAGAACTAGCCTATAAAGTTGTCTGCCCCCCCCCCCCCAAAAAAAAAAATAGCTTAATAACAGTGTCTGCCCAAAGAAAGCTAGCTTTATAAGAATGTCTGCCCAAAACCAACTAGCCTTATAAGTGTGTATACCCAAATATAGCTAGCCTTATAGTATATATATATATATATATATATATATATATATATATATATATATATATATATATATATATATATATATATATATATATATATATATATATATATATAACCTCAGTTATCGTGAAACGATCTATTCAGCACATCCATAACAGTGGTGAATTTTAGAAGATAGTTTTATGCACTATATTCACAAACAATGCCTGAGCATTGTAAGAAGAGTTATTAATATAACAACAAACACAAAAAAAAATTTTACTTCAAATTTCAGAAAATGTTTTCAACATGCTTAATTTGGTAGTATTTCCTACATTCTGTATAAAATGAAAATATAATGTATTCTAAACACAGTGATATAAACCTGTCCCTTTGAGGAACCCTTGATTAATTGATATTGTGTATTTACAAAAATTAAATTATTTATCATCATATTTACAAAAGGGTTAGCAATTATATTATTTCAAAAAGAATAATTTTGGTTATAAAATTGAATAATTAATGTACATGTAATTTATGTTTCATTATCAGAGCTTAGATTTATTGCCCTTATTGCACTAAAATCCCTTTTCATATGTCATATTCTATACTAACAGTTTTATATACAGCACCAAAAATAGCACTCAAATGTTATCAACCTTAAATTGTATATAGCTTTGTTCTATTTTCACTTGTTACATTACATGACAATGTAATACACAAACTAGAGTCCTCCGAACAGAGAAAACGCTAGCAAAATAATTTATATGATGTAAAAACATGAACCCAGCAAAATGATATATAGATGAAAATAAGTAACCCTAACCAAGTTCTCAGCATTCAGTTCCTTACTTGATGCAACAACAATATATCACATTCTTCACTAAAGGTAATATAGTTTCCGTGGTCAAATCACAAGAACTTGAAAATGCTATCTTATCTTCCATTGCAATGCCATATAAATTATACTTCATAATTAAATTAAATGATGAAAATGTTGAGGAAATTTATAAATTAAGTATTTTTTTTCTTTAACAAGAAATCTACATAAGCACCCTTATAAAGACAAGATATAAAATATTTTCATTTTTACAATGTATGTATTATCATTACTAAAACTTCAAAAATTCCGTAACATATTTAGTTTTCAATGCACTGTATGTGCAATGCAACAAAGGCTGTTGATGGAACTTCACTTAATTAGGACAAGTTAAATATAAATATTTGCCTCGGTCAATATTGATATTTTTCTGATGAATAACACACCATATTCACCACTGAAAGAGTCCATAATTGTATCATATTCAATACATGTACACACAGTGTGGGTAAAATTCTGGGCTTTGTTCTTAGTGCAAATACACAAATTAATGCAAAAATGAAAGTTATCCCTGACACTTGATTTTGGCATTTCACAACACTTTGAAATATTTGATAAAAAATGGATAAAAAATATAAATGTAATGCACATGTATGACAACAGAAATAATTAATCATTCCTCATATTTTTTTCAAGGTGAAAGCTACTTCATTTATTTTTATAAAAAAACAGAATTTGAAAATTACCATAATCCAAAAAATAAGACCTCCAAGGGAGAACAATTAACAATCATGAGTCAAGGACATATTTATTTTAGATACTGCAGTGCTTAATTAATTGGTCCTGATCCAAGTGAGTTAGAAAATCTAGAAAATCGATGAGGCACAAAATATCGACGTCGTTTGATACATATAATGGCAACAGCAATGAACAGAATAAAGACAACGGCACCCAGCCCTATGATGATGTATATATACATCCTCCCCACTGGTCGCCTATGTCTGTGAGCGGGTGTAGACTTGGGTAGCTGTGTGGTACGAGTAGTTTCAGAAGACTGACAAAGCTTAAAATTCAGCAGCTCCAATTCCGTAATGGAGCAGACGTGAGTTAACTTGCACACCGAATCACACGCTGGCTTCACAATCTGACTCACTGAGTTATAGGTCAAGTATTTTTGAAACATTGCAGAGTTATCCTGATTAAAAGAAATAGCTAAATTGTTCAAAGACTTTGGAATTAAGTCAGAGAGTTGATAGGCAGTCTTGGCATTATACTCCAATGTCCAGTTTGTATTTCCATCTCCGTGGATCAGTGATGCTAGGTTCAAGTAATACTGCTGGTAGTTGAGGACTGTGCCATCAGTTTTATTATAAGTGTACAGTCGGATGGAGGGATTGTTAGCCCCCACTCCAGCCAAACTACTGTTCCAGGGGGTCACAGCTGGGGCCAGAAATAAAGTACCCACAGGTGAACCTAAAAATGACAATATCAAGATGTAGTACAATGTTCAAACTTATATACTATAGGTACTTGATATATGTATGCTTTAAACATGTAGTAAAATCTACAGAAGGCACCAGTAAAAGCATGTATGAAGTTTTCAAAATACATGTAATAAAAAAGTGTCAACACTGGCAATAAGATTACATGTTTCAAATACTATTATTATTATTCTTTAATATAGGACAGCAGTCAATTTGTTAGTTTTTTATAATATATATATATATATATATATATATATATATATATATATATATATATATATATATATATATATATATATATATATATATATATATATATATATATATATATCATGAACCTTACAATTAGAGATCCATTTTATAATACAAATATAATATTTTAATATAACAAATTGTTGATTTCATAGTGTGAACAAAGCATTCCTTATCTAAACTGACCTACCTTGTTCATCTTTCAGAATTCTGAAGCTGTCCGTGTGTTCATGTCCATAAATCTGGGCTGTTATAATGTCTGAAAATTTCTGTAAGATTTTGATGTATTGAGAGTTGTACTTGTCATAGAACCACATTAGGGAGTTGTACTTCTCAAAAACTCCAGGAGGAACATGGGAAAGAATGATCACCTGTGTAAAAAGTTGAAGCATAGACATAAATAACATTTATTTTATGATGTCTCTGGTTGAAGGCACATCATACTTAGATTTAAAACATAGGTAATCAGAGATTACAGAGCTCACCTCAACGAATGTTGTCTTTAAGTAAGGCAAAGTCCCACACTAAACTAATAATCTAGGAGTGTGCATCCCTAGATGCAACATTTATGCAATTTTGGTCTGATAGGGCTTGCAGTTACTTGGGAATAGACTTATCTGAAAACTTAAAACTTGTCACTCATCCAGAAAATGTAAGTCAAATCCAGCATCCGAAGCAAGTTTGAGATCGTTTGTCCCTTGATGCATCATCCATGCAAGTTTGGTTCAGATAGACCTTATAGTTACTTGGAAATGAGATCTGCTCCAAAAACTTTAACCTGGTTACTCATCCGGAAAATGTAGGTCAGATCCAGCATCTGAAGCAAGTCCAGTGGTGTGCATCCTTAGATGTATCATCCATGCAAGTTTGGTCAATATAGGGTTCATAGATACTTGGAAATGACATCTGCTCCAAAAACTTTAACCTGGTTACTCATCCGGAAAATGTAGGTCAGATCCAGCATCTGAAGCAAATCCAGTGGTGTGCATCCTTAGATGTATCATCCATGCAAGTTTGGTCAATATAGGGTTTATAGATACTTGGAAATGACATCTGCCCCAAAAACTTTAACCTGATTACTCATCCGGAAAATACCTATAGGTCAGATTCAGCATCCGAAGCAAGTTGAGTAATGTGCATCCTTAGATGTATCATCCATGCAAGTTTGGACAATATAGTTACTTGGAAATGAGATCTACTCCAAAAACTTTAACCTGGTCACTCATCCAGAAAATGTAGGTCAGATCCAGCATCTGAAGCAAGTTCAGTAGTGTGCATCCTTAGATGTATCATCCATGCAAGTTTGGTCAATATAGGGATTATAGTTACTTGGAAATGACATCTGCTCCAAAAACTTTAACCTGGTCACTCTTTCGGAAAATGTATGTCAGATTCAGCATCCGAAGCAAGTTCAGTAGTGTGCATCCTTAGATGTATCATCCATGCAAGTTTGGTCAATATAGGGTTTATAGATACTTGGAAATGACATCTGCTCCAAAATCTTTAATCTGGTCACTCCTCCGGAAAATATAGGTCAGATTCAGCATCCGAAGCAAGTCCAGTGGTGTGCATTCTTAGATGTATCATCCATGCAAGTTTGGTCAATATAGGGTTTATAGATACTTGGAAATGACATCTGCTCCAAAATCTTTAACCTGGTCAATCATCCGGAAAATATAGGTCAGATCAAGTCCAGTAGTGTGCATCCTTAGATGTATCATCCATGCAAGTTTGGTCAATATAGGGCTTATAGTTACTTGGAAATGAGACCTGCTCCAAAAACTTTAATCTGCTCCAAAAACTTTAACCTGCTCCAAAAACATTAACCTGGACATTCTTTAGCTAAAATTGCAGCATCTGAAACCTTGAGTGGTACAATGAAACACACTAGAAGCATTCTCCATGCATCTCTGACTGATATAGGCCATAGAAGTACTTGAAAAGAAAACTGCTCCAAAAACCTTAACCTAGGACGCTGACGATGAGGGTATTACATAAGCTCCCCCTACTTCGTTGAGGTTAGCTAAAAAATGTATATACAGGAGTTATCTCCCTTTCATTGCCATACCAAACAATAGTGTGTACAATGTTTGTTGGAGGTGCAAAATTCTTAACATTATATTCTTAAAATGTAAATACAAAGGAATGTAAAAATTCATGGTCAATTTTTTTTTCTTAAATGGGTTTAATTTTTTTTAAATATGTAATAATAGTGAAGCTTAATTCTCTGTACTCTTTATTTAGGTTTAATATTTTCAAGCAGTTTTACTCTATACCTTAACCTATAGATCTATGATACTTATATTCACTGATTTGGCTTAACTATGCTACTGGTTGTTGTCTTTGTCTTTTTTTTATTTGAACAAACTTTTGTATGGATGGAATTCTTTTTTTTTAAAGAAAAAATTAAACAGGAACTTTTATAATAAAAACACTGATGGTGCGGAAATTTTTCTGAGATGGAATAAATAATCTCATTACACAGTGAATTAGTATTCAATATTCATATAAGGAAATGGTAATGCTCTTATCACACACTGAATTAGTAATTCTTAATTCAAGTAAGGAAGTTGTAAATATTATCTATTGAACTATGTGAACATAGTACATGTAATAGTTCAAATACTTTATTTGGTTTGGCTGATGCTCAAAAACTATATTTTCACCTTGTTTGCAGTCAGGAAATATTGTTCTGCTATCTTGATATATCAACAACAACAGTGATAAGGCCTAGATAAATAAATAGTGAGTTTCCTATTCCAAACTGGAAAAAATGAGGGTTGGTAGGAAAAAAACATTTTAACTTTTTATTGTTTATTTAACCTGGCAATAAACAATATTTTACAAGAGAAACAATGTTCACTTCTTTTCCCCACAAGGGCGGATTATTGTGCCAATTTTCCCAGGAAATCACTGGTGAGAACAGGATGTGTGTTTTCCAAAATACAGACAAGACAGAGATAATGATTTCTAATAGTGAAACCAGAATTGCCTACTTCCAGAAAGTATATAACATCAGAAAAATTTTCAGGATTGGCTCATAATTTAGGGTCGTTCAGGGAACCAGAAGCACACATTTTATTTATAAGGGTCTAAACATTTACATCAGAAACACAGGGACTTAATGTTATCTAATTCTCTCATCACAAAAATATAACCCTTACCTAATTATACCCGACCATTGACAAGTACCTGTACTCAGACAGTCATCAAATACATGATGTGATATCAAACATGTATTGCTTTAACCAGGGTGTGTGAATCACTATTGGCACCAAAAATATTTTAAATTTTTTCAAAATATAAGACATAACATACAGCGTTAATGATAGCGAAAGCTTTTCATTGTGACGTCATAATAGAGCGATGCAAAAACACAATGTTCCATGACGTATTTCATATAACAAAACTCAACAAAATAATATGTAAACATCAAACAAAATGCAAAGGTTGCATTAGAATGGGAATAACTATCTTCTAATTTGGTATTTGCGAGCGTTAATGCTGATTTAACAGTCGCAAACATCCTTTTTACTGGCTCCACTTATGCATCGCCGGTAAAACTCAGTTTGAGACCGTTAAATCAGCATTAATGTCGCAAATACCAAATTAGAAGATAGTTATTCCCTAAGTTTAATTCTTAAAACAGAATAAAACAATAAAATTTGAGTTACTTTGATTGGTTACCATGTGTAATGAAAATTACGCGGCTAGGATAAGGCTGCCCGAAGAATGTCACAGTGTACCAGCCGTAGTAACTTCTCTGAACTACCTAGATATGACGTCATAATGGCATATGACGTCAAGTCACTGCAAATTTGAGCAGACATGACGGGGAAAGTGTCATAACTTTTACATTCCTTTCACATCACATGTAGATTTTTTTTTACGTTGATGTTTAATTCATGTGTCTGGATTGTTGTTTTAACGCTGTTATGGTGGTGAATATTTGCAGTATAAAATTGTTAATCCTTTTTCTTGTCTAACATGTACGTATTCAAACAATTACTAAAAAAAAGAATGTGAAATGCTCCCCCTTACACGTCCGTAGACAGAGTTAGAATTTATAAATCTTATATATATTAGACTGGCACAAGTGAATAATAAGGATTAATTGAAGATATTCTGTGTGAATCTACTAGAGAATTATGTCCTCTAAATGAATTTTGCTGGGGGATTGTATGTAATTTATCCAATTTCGTATAAATTGCGATGAAGAGTGGAAAATGACCCCATGTATGCTGGTAAGTTGAGTTTCTCGTGAAATATTTTCTTAAGAAATAAAATTCAGACTTGCCCCCAGCTCTTTATATATACTCAAGAATACGTTTAATTGATTTATGTAACAAGCTGTTCACAATAATTTTGTTTTTCACTTGTGCCGATGCGATTTTTGTGCAACATTTAAGAAAATTTATAAGTGTCCGTCACGTGATCAACACAGTCATGTGACATCACAAAAATGCTTTTTTATAATACCTTATTCAATTCCCTTTACAACTTAACTGTGTATGTATACATAGATTACAAATTGAAATCAAAACATAGCTCAAAACAAGATGTGTTTGTGAAACACTATGCACCCGGCGGCAACAAAGTTGAAAAAGCTATTTTTAGCATATAGGTCACAGTCAAGGTCACAAGGTCATTGACCTTGGTGTCATTTGAAAGAACTTAATGAGTGGAGTATGCATACCAAATATGAAGTCTCTCTCTCTCATGGTTCAAAAGTTATGGTGAAGGTTAAAGTTGACAACAGACAGACAAACAGACAAACAGACAGACAGGACAAAAACAATATGCGCCCCTGATCTATCGATCCGGGCGCATAATAAAATAGTATATAGCTTATCCATATTAAGCCTTCGGGCAGCCTTAACATAGCTGCATAATATTACTTCTTCATTTGTAATAAAAACATGCAATGAAAGTCCAATTTGGATTCAGGGGGATTCATACCTGCAAACACCAAAGAAAAAGAAAAGTAATGCAATATGTGGTATTTGTACTGACCTTTTCTTTGGCTTTTCTGGCATTTGTTAGAGTGGTCATCATCCACTGGAACTGGTTGGCAGGGTCCTCTGAATTAGTGGTCAGTTTGTCCTGGGAGTAAAGCAGATTAGTGTTCAGGCCAATGACCCTCAGTCCAGTATGAATCAAGGTTGTGTAATAGCCACCTAAAAGATAATACATTCACACTATCATCATGTTATAGACAGGGATATGAGTACAAACTACCATCATGTTATAGACAGGGATCTGGGGAAGACTACATCATGTTATATTTACATTTCCAAATATTTTTCCTTAAGATTCTTTGCAAATTAGAAGATTGTTCATTTTCTCATGAACTACCATGAGTTGAACAAGAATATCTCCATTGTTACGTCATAATACCATACTTGACATCAAAACTATAGTGCAAGCTGTTTTACTTAAAAAATGACAGTTGAAGGCGTAACTTGTGGAAACTCTTCCAAAAAATAATGTAAATATAAGAAAAGAATTTAATTCTTGAAAATTCATGAGGTACATGAACTACAACGCTTCACGCCGGCATTTTTATCATGAAGCGCTAACGCGCTTCATGAAATATGCTGGCGTGAAGCGTCATAGTTCATGTCCTCAGGAATCTTCAGAAATTAAATTCATTTCTTAAATAGACAGGGATCTGGGTAAGACTACAATCATGTTATAGACAGGGATATGAGTAAGACTACCATCATGTTATAGACAGGGATCTGGGTAAGACTACAATCATGTTATAGACAGGGATCTGGGTAAGACTACAATCATGTTATAGACAGGGATCTGGGTAAGACTACAATCATGTTATAGACAGGGATCTGGGTAAGACACACAAAATTGGATGATTATTTGATAATGTTGTGCCTATAAACCCCTCGTTACATTGTTTTAATGCTTGTCAGTCGAATGATGTAATATTGAACACTTTCAGGACAGATGCTAATTTTGCACACTCTTTGGTAGATATCATTATTGAATATTTTTCATTAATTTTGAGTAAAAGATTAATAAAAATCAATTGGAAAGTGTTTTAGCTATATAATAAAGGAATTATAGAACTTATATTGGTGGACACTGGCACTCACTGGCTGTAAAAATACACTTGCAAGCTCGTGCATTTGTACTGCCAAATTGTGCCAATATTCATCAATAACACTGTAATCCAAAAATCTTTCTAACCAATTCAAAATATTGTAGCTATGTTTTGTCTATAACAACAACCAGTGGAGTCAAACCATTAAAGCTGTATATGGCGTATCTGAGCTAAAAAATAAAAATACCAGATTCAGTGTAGATGAACATGATATTTGTTATTTACGTTCAAATTAAAATTTTCACCGATTTTGAACTTGAATAATCCCAAGTTTCTACAGTTAAATAGACTTTAAACTGTGTCTGATATTTAAATGCAGAGTTGGTAAATAAATCGGTTATTTTTTAAACTAATATCTATGAAACCCAATTGATTTAAATTGAGTAATTTACAGAAAAGTCCATCTTTATATAAAGTAATAAAACAAATAGAAAGATCTTTATAAGTTTAGTTAGTCTGAACTTATCAAAAATACGCCATATATGACTTTAACTATTGCTTAGAGAGCTTTTCTTGGTTTATTTAGTATCTATTTAGAACTTATTAACAGAGAATCTATTGCACTTACTCACTTGTTTAAAAATGGCACAGAGTGAAATTGTTTACCTGTCAGGAACTGCTTGGCAGTATCATTTGACAGAAGCTGGTCAAAGTGAGCAGTTTGTAGGATCCCCTTGTAATAGTCAGACCCTGGTGTGGGGGGATATGCATCTTTGGGATACTCATCATGGTTACCAAGCACTGGATATATGTGGGTGTCTGGGAACACAGAGCGAAGGTGTAGTGAGATATTCCCAATGTGTCGCTGAACTTTCTGTAGGTCAAGTTCACTGTCCTCCACATGTGGTACACTATCTCTAAAGAATTGACATAAAATAATGAAAAATTTGGGCTTATAAACAACTACTTTGTGGTTAATGCTCACTGTGAAGAAGATACAGTCAAACCTTGTTATCTCAAACTCAATGGGACCAAGAAAAAATTTGAGATATCCATGGTATTTGAGATATCAGTGGTTGAGATAACAAAGTTCAACTATAATTAGTATTTAGGAATTAGAAAGTTAAACTTAATTAATTAGTTTTCCACATTCTCCTCCCAACCCCCAAATAAAATGAAAAAAACCCTTAGTAGTATTAAAGCATTTTTTGCATGGATATCTAGATGCCATATAACAAATATATCACATTCAATTCCTTTATTCTAAAGTACTTGATAGAATTTGTTTTCTATTTTATATGGATTAAAGGGGATTAAAAATTTTTCTTTGTTGGTGGCAAGATGGAACACCTGTCTTGAGTTCAGGGCCAATCAGGGAACCCAGATTCTTGGCCCATTCTGTCACATTTTCCCCTTCCTGTTACAAATTATACATTTCTGATAGAATTCTGTAATGTATTCTAAATTAGATAATTACCCAGTCCACAATATGAAGTCTGGGTTTGGATGGATTCGCTTCATGGCTGCCGTGGCTGACTGAATCAGTTTCCATGGTGAATCACAGTGGTAGTTTCCGTAGATACTGTTACTATGGCTACCACCTGACATGTCATGGCACATCCTCAGTGGATCTCCTTTTGTGCTATAATTGGCATCATAGTGAAAATCTGTCACTTGCCAAAAGTAACCTGAAATAATAACAATTAATTAATTATCAGGGTTTTTAAAAAGATAAGAAACACTCGGTACTTTCACAAAAATAGGAGGCACCTTGTGGAAGTGATTTTAATTTAATAGTTATTAAAAATTTTTCCAACAAATATTTGGTCAGTACAATCATGATTTTAGCTGGGTAAAAGTACCGGGTATACCAGCAGATTTTGAAAGGCCTGAATTTTGTTCAATTTTCATGAAGAAAAAACAGAACATGTATCTATTACAATTTTCTTCATGATATTGTTGTAAAATATATTGTTAAAAAGTTGTAAAACATACAAACTGACTCACAACTTAAAATCCTTTTGTTGATTTTATGTATTTTTGTACCTTTAGAGGAAAAAATGGTTTGTGAAAAGCTTTCAATACAGTATTCATTGCAAAGGAAGTTAGATGTCTACAAGTTTTCAACGTTGATAACAATGTGTATAACATTTATTTTGAAGTGAAAAGGATAATTTCTTAAATTAAAATAAAATATAATTTATTATGTGTAATAAGCTGAGGCCAATCACAAGTTTTACGGCTGATAAGATGCGACTATAGGAATTGTTTGGTTTAAACAAAAAATAAATATTACCTGTTTCTACACTGCTGGCACAAATCTTAATGACAATTCCAACAAATAATACAATACTCGAAAAATTCATATTCCAAGTCAACTTTCTTCTACTTTCACATTCGCCCAGTTCAAGGTACAATGGAGAGTTCGTCAAAGGGCACTAACTCTTTGAAGAGGATTTGAGGTTCTACCACATCTAGTGAATGATCACATTAATTTATTGACTATCGAAATAAAACCAAACAAGGATAAACGTTAACGTTATATGTTTTTAATTGTACATGCCCCTTGAGGGCCCTTGATTGGTGAATAAACATATTATTATTATGTCTCTTATAATTATCCTGTGTGCCAATAAAACACTACATAAATAGTATAATGTGATGCGACTGTGAATGAAAGATGTTTCGTGTAAATCAATCAAAACACTGATAAATAAGCCGCATATTTCTGCCTTACTGTCCATAATTTTCTTTTAACCCCCCCCCCCCCGGAAAATTTGTACTGTAAATTAAAATATAAATTAATTATAACCTAAACTTTTTAAATAAACCTTAATTTTCATTTTATTTATCAAAGAGTTTAGTTTATAACAGCTGTTTCTATTTATTTGATGAACAGTTGAACATAAATAAAAAACCGTATTAAAACGTTTTAAGAAAACGATTGACGATGAACCACATGGGCATCTTATAAATGTATTTTTATATGTGTAGTAGAGAACAGAGCGGATAAGATCCTGTGGATGAACTTTGGTGAAATTGATAGAGAGGATTTTAAATTCATGATCTATATTTCATCAAAAAACAAATTATTATTGTTTGGTTCTATTGATATATTCAAACAACTTCTTCCTCCATGGCCGTTGGACCCCCCCCCCCTAATTTTGCCGATATATAGATTACTGTAGAAAACATAGCTATATGCTTTTGCCCCCTCAATAAAAATGTCTGGTGATCTTTTGTGTGTGTGGAGGGGGGGGGGGCTTGTCAAGGATCTGTGGGTAGTTGATATAGTGCCTCCCCCAACTAAAAATGTATGGCGCTGTGCCCCCCCCCCCTCCAACTGAAATTGCTTCCTACAGGCCTGTCCTCAGTTAATCTCATCTGAAATCATCTACATCAGCCTTTAAATATCATTGTAAATGCATTCTTAATTCATATTTTCTTGAAAAGTGGTATCAAAAGAGGGAACAATTAAGTACTTGTGGGAAGTTAGACACTTAACTGCACAATTAAACAAAACTTTGGGCTAGAACCTTATTTATTAATCTTAAGAAATTTTGAGAAAAGGAAGATATTAACAAAGTTTCGAATTTCTTCTCACAATCCGATGATTGAAAAAGGTCGACATAATGGTATACCAAGAGAAGAGAGAATATGCCCCAACTGCAAATTAAAAGAGGTAGAGGATGAAATACATTTTCTTTTAGATTGTCCATGCCGTCGTCTATCTGGTGGGTGAGTAAGTGGCACTAGTCAAGGACGGATTATTCAAGTTATTTATTTATTTATTTTTTTTTTTTTGCCGGTCGAGGTCAGATCATTTATTTTCATTTTTTTTTCGAGGACAGATTATTTATTCCCAAAATCTGACACCCCCCCCCCCCGAATCAAATGGTCGTCTCCTAATCTCATCCTGTTCTTAAAAATGTTGAAAAAATGTTGAAAATAAATACCTAATGTCCGCCACTGACACGAAATAAATACTCTGACATTAATGGTGCTACAGTTGTGGTGAAAAAACTTCCTTGCAGGCTTAATTAATACAGTGGTCATCTGTTTCTGTTTAACCTGCACTTTTTAAGACCGCTGATGTTTAATTTATATCAAAAGGGGGATAAAGGGGTCTAAACCTCCGTAATTCCACTACAGAAGGAAACTATGACAAAACACATCGATGGAAGGTCAATCTACATGTCAACGTCCACTCATTTTGTGTGGTTAACCACTTCCCATCCATCACAAAAGTATGCATATATTGCCCAGTGTTTGATTTTCCCTCGATAAAGCACCGAAAGTAAATTGTCAAGAAATAAAAAAAAGTTACGATATATTATTTAAGCAAATGTACCTACATGTATTAATTAAAACAATAAATTGCTTTGTATCTTAACGTTGATGCGGGATTGAAGAAAAAATGCATAGTTAACAGATTATGTGTTTTTTCTGTAATGATTGCAGACATAGAAACAGTCTGAATCCGCTTAACGTTATTAGTATCTGATATATATTAAAGTCACTGATACTGTCCCTGAACATTTTTCGTGACAAAGATGGGCTTAAAAAGGCAATTGCAAGGTTTTAAACTTTCATAAATAAAGCCCCTTGAGTATCAAGTCAACTGGGAGACATAAATTCCATAAACAGCATACGCGGATCTAAGGGGGGGGTCCTGACCCCCCTCCAGGAATTTCAGAGTTATTTAAAGTATACTGAAGCAAATGAAAAAAAAAACTTTGCCCCCCCCCCTTGGAAAAAGTGGACCTCACCACCACCACCACGAAAAAGTTTTTTTTTTCATGTTTGGGAAATTAATTTTATACGAAAGCCTATTAGGATCAAACTACGGTAAAAAAAAAATTATTACGCCTTTCAAAAAGGCGTTATTACGCCTTTTAAAAAGGCGTTATTACGCCTTTCAAAAAGGCGTTATTACGCCTTTCCAAAAGGCGTTATTACGCCTCTTTTTTTTCAATACATGACTTACTTAGCCCACCCTGGGGGCTGATTATAATTAGATTTCCAGGAAAAAAGATTTTTAAATGTGTAAAATATTTTCAGTGTTAAACCAACTTAGTCCTTCTCTGATGCCAGACGCCTCTAACAAGGTGCATGGATTTCAGAAATTTGGTTGAAGGCTAATTGCTCATTATATCTGTGCAAATACTTTGCCTGTTTATTTACCAAGAGGTATGGTGGCATATTTCTGCCCCTTGTGTGCAAGTTATTTTTCTGTCAAATATGTCGACATGCAAGATAAATATGTTGACATGCAAGATAGTTATGCCAACATGCAACATAACTATGTTGACATGCAAGAAAATTGCAGTCAAATAAGAATTATAAAAAATCTGTAAGATATCTCAAAAATTGTCCACATGTGACTTCCAATATGCTAGATGCTACTTATTTATGTCGACATGCAAGTTATTTATGTTGACATGCGAAATAAAAATGTTGGCATGCAAGTTATTTATGTCAACATGCAACTTACGTATGTTAACATGCTACTTATTTATGTCAACATGCAACTTAGTTATGTCAACATGAAATTTGTTTATGTCAACATGTAACTTAGTTATGTTGACATGCGAGATAGATATGTTGACATGCAACTTAGTTATGTTGAGTAGCGGATATATATATATATATATATATATATATATATATATATATATATATATATATATATATATATATATATATATATATATATATATATATATATATATATATATATAATTGTAAAAAAGTAATTATCAAAAATTGAAATCACAAATCGATGTAAATGTCTTAAGACTCATGAATCCCAAAAGAGTTTACAGTGAATATGATCGATTTGTGATTTCATTTTGGATATATACTTTTTAGAATATGATCAATTTTTCAAAATGATAAGATTTTTAATTAAATGATTAAATTTGAATGCAAAAGAAGTTATGTGATACACAATTTGAACATTTGTGCGAGCGTGTAGATTCGTTACTACCCAAGACACGTGCAATGAGGCACGGTTCTGTTTTATTTTTCTGTCGGTAAAATTGAAGTTGATTTTAATGATCGCAAATTTATTTAAGCAAATGTTGCAGTTTAAATTATTTTCTATAATATGAGGTGGACAACAAAGCATAAATTGGATTTCCTTAGATAAAATGTCCTGGCGATTCAGAACGTGACCGTAGATTATAAAACGTTTTTAGGGGCCTTCTCTGCGGGCTACCTATAGTAATTAGTGTGTCCGTCCGTCCATCTGTTCGTCTGAGGTCTCTTTTAAAGGGTGTGCAGTGACCTTGAACTATGTTTTAAGGTCAAAGATTAAGGTCATAGCAGAACTGTATCTGAAAAATGCATGTAAACATAAATAAGTTGCATGTCGACATAAATATGTTGCATGTCAACATATTTATCTCGCATGTCAACATAACCAAGATGCATGTCGACATAAATAAGTTGCATGTAGACATAAATAAGTTGCATATCAACATATTTATCTCGCATGTTAACATAAATAAAATGCATGTTGACATAAATAAGTAGCATCTAGCATGTTGGATGTCACATGTGGGCAATATTTGAGATTTTTGAAGATTTTTTATAATTTTTATTTGATTACAATTTTCTTGCATGTCAACATAGTTATGTTGCATGTTGACATAACTATCTTGCATGTCAACATATTTATCTTGCATGTCGACATATTTGATAGAAAAATAACTTGCACACAAGGGGCAGAAATATGCCACCATAAAGAGGAGAGAAAAATATTTCAAATTTGACATGAATTTTTAATACGTGGCTAGCAAAGCCCAAAGCTGGTTCTGCCTATATCCTGGATTTTCAATAGTAGAGTGTTGATTTCTCTCAACATGCATGCAAAATGCAATCAACTGTCTGCGAGATGTGCAGGAATATAGAAAATACTATAATTTATAATATAATTTATAATATTAAAACTATAATCTAAATATTGCATAAATAAAGATGGCTTTCGTTCAATCTTTCATATATTTACTATTTTAAAATAACGCCTTTCCATTTTTGGATATAACTCCTTTTCAAACAGGCCGGTAGTACGAATGCGAGTGAGGGGGGGGGGGGCTCCCCCACCCCAATTTTTGGGAGAATAGTCTTGCTATAGTTTAAATATAAAAAATCATTTATTGATTGCTTGGTCCCTTAACATTTTGTTGCAGTATGGTTAAATTCGGGCAAGTCATTGCATTTAAAAAAAGTTTTACCGAAAAATTAGAAAAAGCTCCCCCTCAAGTTTTGGCAGTTTATCTTTTTTCGGGGGGTTGTTGTTGTTGTTGTTGTTGTTTTGTTTGCTTGTCAATTTTAAGGGACCCCCCCCCCCCACTTTAAAAGCACGGGCCTGTCAAAGATATAATAATGGCCCTTCAAAAGGCATAATAGCGCCTTTTTGAAAGGCGTATTAATGCCTTTTGAAAAGGCGTAATAACGCCTTTTTAAAAGGCGTAATAACGCCTTTTGGAAAGGCGTAATAATGCCTTTTTGAAAGGCGTAATAACGCCTTTTAAAAAGGCGTAATAACGCCTTTTGGAAAGGCGTAATAACACCTTTTTAAAAGGCGTAAAACGCCTTTTGGAAAGGCGTAATAACGCCTTTTAGAAAGGCGTAATAACGCCTTTTTTAGCGTTATAACGCCTTTTGGAAAGGCGTAATAACGCCTTTTGGAAAAGCGTAATAACGCTTTTTTTCGCGTTATAACGCCTTTTGGAAAGGCGTAATTACGCCTTTATTTGCGTTATAACGCCTTTTCAAAAGGCGTTATTACGCCTTTTTTCGCGTTATAACACCTTTTGAAAAGGCGTTATAACGCCTTTTAATTTATTTTTTTACCGTAGTTTGATCCTAATAGCTTTCGTAATTTTAAGTTGTTGTTGTTGTTGTTGTTTTTTTTGTTTTTGTTTTTGTTTTTTTTGTTTTTTTGTTTTTGTTTTTTAAATTTTCTGGGTTTGATTGATACGTTTGGGAAAGGAGTTCTTTTTTTTTTTTTTTTTTGTTTGTTGTTGTTGCTTTTTTTTTCTTTTTTTTTTTTTTGGCTTGTCAAGAAATTTCTGGATTGGAAATTTTTTGACTTGGGTGCACCCCCACCCCCCTGAAAAAAAATTCCTGGATCTGCGCCTCCATATACAGGTGATATTGCTATATAAATAAGAGAAGGTGACGATAGAAGGGTGGAAGTCCTCATGTTTATCATAAAATTTTGTTGTTAGGTTTCCATTAACGTCGACAGGGGATGCTTACTCCTCCTAGGCACCTGATCCCGACTCTGGAATTTCCGGGGTCCGTGTTTATGCCCTGTTCACAGATTTGTATTGTCTAGATTTTTGAGATCTATCACTGTTTCTTACCTTCACCTCTAATAAAATATCCAAACATGAAACAAATTTGTCACGCTCTGTGGTCTCTTTTATTTCAAGTTCAAAGGAATATGTAGAGAATCAACGTAGGAATGATGTTAATTGATAAAACGTTGTCGATATATCTAAATGTTGAATTGAAGGCCACAAGCAGGGACTACTTCTTTTCATGTAGAAATTTTTAATAAATTCTGCTTCACATGAATACAAAACGGGTTTGCTAATAATGGGCCACAATTGGTATCTGCATGGAAATTCCGACAGATTTGTTGGAAGACTTGATCTCCAAAAACTACATAGATATTGTAAATCAGAAACTCATCTTTTGAATATCAACTTAGGAATACTTGTCAATGTGTGTACAATTAGAATGTTTTTTAACAAAAAACTTTTGCAAATGACAATGACAAGGAAAGTAAAGAGCAAGAGCCACTTATGGCCTCTTTTGGCCCTGAGAATTTCTGAAAAATCGAAACTGCTCAGTTTGGGTTGAAAATACAGTATTTATCACTTTGACCCTTGATGACAGTGTATCTATTGAACATGACGTATTTTTCTCTCTAGTCAATGCATTATGACGTCATAAAATGCGTCATTTTCCCCACATCTTGTAAATTCCTTTACAAATTGCCGAAAGTTGAAGTAATTTTTTTTCAATATTTCATATAGAGCACAACCTCTGATCCAAAATATGCAATTACATAATGAAAGATCTGTTTCTGAAGATCATAAAACACGTATTAATTTTTGGATCGTGGGTTGTGCTCATATTTTAATTCTTTGTTGAAGGTAGTCAAATACGCATGTTTTCTGCAAAATTCAAGAACATTGCATTTTCTCGAAGCCTGTTTTTCAGTACCTGTGGCCCTTTTCACAAAAAAATCTTAGAACTAAGATAAATATTTTCCCCTCTCTTAGAGGTATCTCAGCTGTAGTAAGTGACCTAAAATCTTATATTTCTATTTAACTATATTACATAGTATATCATATTTCAAAGAAAAAACTAATATTTTTATTGAACAAAAAATAACGGAGTTGTCAATTTTTAATCTTAGTCATAAGATTTTTTGTAAAAAGGGCCGCTTGATTCTTTAAAAGAAATTTTGTTAGGTGAAATGAAAGCATTAAGTCTCAACTTATTTTGATATATGAAGTGGGACAGAGGGTGATAACCAATTAATTGATATAAGGACAGGGCCATTTTATGCATAAAGTGAACCTAGCTCTTTACGAGTTCCATTTTTATTGAAAAAGCAGCTGTCTATGATGTCAAAAACCCTGGACTTTAATTTATCGTGGGGATTAGTTGTATAAAGTGTTGAATTGAAAAGTCATACATTTTGGTGTTATTGATTTTAGTAAGATTTTGCGGTTTCAAATCTTCTAAAAGTTCCTTGGAGTTTTTAAGTATCCACATCTGATTTACACCACTTCTCAGATATATATTATTTTACAGTAGGCCTGAAGTTTCTCCTTCACAGTGAGGAGTAATCAGGCTTGGTAGAATATTTATGGAATCCGCTATGTATCTTTGTTTGCAAGGATTGTAGCTTAGGAATCCAGTATAGGTCTGGTTATTCAAATTTAATTTTATTTCAACATGACTAATCATGACCCTGTTGTTATTGAGAGAATTTTTAGATGTCCCCATGTCGAACTTTGATGCATTTCCTAAGGATGTTTGCATATTATTAAGATTCATGATAAATATGCCGGCGTGAAGCGTTGTAGTTCATGTACCTCATGAATTTTCAAAAATTAAAATCATTTCTTATATTTACATTATTTTTCTGATGAATTTCCACAAATTACGCCATTCAACTGTCATTTCTTAAGAAAAAACAGTTTGCACTATAGTTTTGACGTCAAGTACGGTATTATGACGTAACAATGGAGATACTCTTGCTCATCTCATGGTAGTTCATGAGAAAATGAACAATCTTCTTATTAGCAAAGAATCTTAAGGAAAAAGACTTGGAAATGTAAATATATACAAATAAACATTGCCTTACTGCTCTTGATAAGAAATTTTTTCAATTTTTTTTGGTCCTATTTATATTCCCTTGTATTTAAACTTCGATCTCTTACTGTGGCCCCACCCAAACCCAAGTGGCCAAGATTCGAATAATTCTGAATCTGCATTACCCATGAAAGCTCTTAATATGACTAATCATAGCCCTGCTCTCATGAAATATATTTGAAGAAGTCCCCCCTCAATATTCCTAAGCAGAACTTTTGGTTCCATATTGTTGCCCCATCCTAACCACAGGAGGCAAGCAAATATGATCTACATTGGGATAATAACTTATCATAACCTTGGCCTTGAGATTTTTTTTCAATATATTTGATACCCTATTGTAGCCCTCATACCCCCCCCCCCCCCCAAGGGCATGATTTGAACAAACTTGAATCTAATTTGTCAGGAAGCATTAAAACAAGAGGCCCATGGGCCACAATGCTCACCGGAGTCAATATTGCCCTGTTGTTCTTTGTCAGCAGATTTCTTCTCCTATATATTCATATGTAAAGCTTTGATTGCTTGTTCTAGGCATACCCTACCCCCAGGTGCCATGTTTTGAATGAAATTGAATCAGAACTTTCTGAGGATGCTTTTATATTCATATAACTAATCATGCATGGTTTTGCTGTTCTTGAAAACAGAATTATTAAGATGTCTGCCACCCTACCCAACCGGGGGGGGGGGGGGGCATGATTTGAACAAACTTGAATCTACACTACCTGAGGATGCTTTCATATCAATATGACTAATCATAGCTTTGTTGTTCTTGAGAATAAGATTTTTAAAGATATTTCCTAAACATGTATACATATGTTCTTTTGTAAAACTTTGATCCCCCATTATGGCCCCACCCTACTACTGGAGGATGCCTTGAACAAACTTGAATCTACACTACCCAAGGATGATTCCATATCAATATGACTAATTGTGGCTTTGTTGTTCTCGAGAAGAAGACTTTTCAAGATTTTTTTTCTATATCTTCCTATGTAAACTTTGATCCCCCATTGTGGCCCCACCCTACCCCCAGGAGTCATGATATGCTTTTTCAGAAGCTCAATGGAAAGCCAAATAGTGACAAGTAATCCAATATCCAACTTTGAATTTGCATGATCTATTATTGGCCAAATGGACCAAAAAATTATTCTTTAACTGAACCCATCCTAAGAGTCAAATAACTTAGTGCAAGCATAATTTTCATCTCAGACTGTTGTTTCCAGTTATTAAATTTCATGCCATTATTGGAATCCCCATGTGAATTTGGGATTACTTTCACATGAACACTAAGTTCAACATAAGTAAAACGAAACCTCACTCTATACCTGATTTTATTTACATCAAAGCAATCCACACAACTGACTGAATGAGATTCAACCCTGACCTTGCCCGTCTTCACACGAGTAAATAATTTACATGTACAGTACACATACTACCTGCGTTGTGATACACATGTAAAAAGAGTACACAGATTTTGATGTAACGATGGAAAACCAACATAAATTACTACATGCTGGCACAAATCGTGTCTTTTTTGTAGAACAAACATCATAAAAGAGTACATGAAAGTCTCATCTTCTACAGAATTTCAATACTGAATTTTCAGTTGATAATTTCTTTGAAAATGTCCTCAGAAATGTCAGATCTGTGTCTGATTTACTGGAGTACGGTTTATTACGTCATTGATATGGCTTCACAATATGCTGAGCAAATGAAGAGAGAGACAATAAACACAAACATCATCGCAGATAGAGAAGCATCAGACTCGGGTTCTCTAGGTACGACTTCCACAGATTGGAGAAGCGAGCCATTGTAGCGCCCTCTATGATGCGGTGATCTGCTGACCAGCTGGCACACATGATCTGTTTTTTGATAATGTTACCCTTGTCATCAAAGCGAGGTAATGTCTGGAAAGAGATTTAAATATCAGGATAATAGAAAACAAGCAGGTTTTCCCGTAATTCCCTAATTGCCAGAAGTGGATAACTCCATTACATATTGTACCAAACAATAAGAATCACCATAATCATTACTTGTGGTTTACAATTTATAATTGATTTTTTTCTTACTGATTGGTTCAGTTATTTTATGGTTACTAATCATTAAATGAAGAGTTTGTAAAGAAATGCTGAGTTTAGAAAATACATGGATTTGCGTAAATTGTGATACTGTATCTGTTTAGTTTACAATATATTTTAAAGTCACAGAGAATGAAAATCACTTCATTGTATGCCTCAATTCATTATAAACATGTTTTATTGTAGTAAATTAGACTTGTTCTAACAAATGTGAGAATTTACAATTCAATTTTCTCTTATAACATTTTAACATTTTGTCATGGGAGAAAGTTATATTCATCTCAGTCAGAAATTAGACTGTTGACCTCTAAGATATGGCTTAGAAAGACTACCTTCATTAGAATGTCTAAAATTACTAACTCTGTTTTGAAGATAAATTTAATTTCAAATATTTTTAGGATTTGATGAATATTCTAAAATGGTTAGGATTTACATGAATTTCCTTAACAATTCTTTAGTTCTGGGGTTGCATGAAATACCTGATTACCACCATACTGGAACACTTGTTTCCTTTAACATATTCAATATTAATGTACAAGTATACCAAACATAAACCATAAAGCATTTCACAGCAGTTTTGAATACAAAAATTTTGAATTCCCGCCAAAAGCATGTACATTTTAAGCTTGATAACTGGTTTATAAGGATAAAACTTACTTGTAGTTTTCCTAATGCACCTATAGCCACCTCTGGTGGTAATATCACAGGCCTGGCATAAGTTCCTCCTATCTATAAAATAGAAGATTAAACACTAAAAGCTTAAAAATCCAAAGATTTTCTGCAGTCTTTCCTAGAGCACATATATTATAACCACTTGGAGAAACAGTCTCCAGTAACACAGAGGAATGGTAAAACATTATTTTTCCTATCCTTTTTGATCATGAGAAACAACGACTGTCATCAAAATCATTTATTGGTTTTCTTTGTTTAAACAGTTAATGTACAGTACGTGTACTTTGAAAGGCTTATAAAGATTGCATTTAAATTTTCTGTTACTTCAATCTTGCACTCGAAACCCACAGAGCTGGATATAATCAGAGGATATTGAAATTTTAAGAATTTACATGAACATACATAAAAAATATTTTAACAACAGACAAGTGTATAGGTGTGACCTCTGAACTCTGACATGACCTTTTGTTTCACTCACCACTCCAATATTAGACAGAGAGAAAGTCCCCCCAGTTAACTCAGCATTGGTCAGTTTTCCTGCCATTCCTAGTGCTTGGAGACGATTCAGTTCCACAGCTATGTCAAAAATACTCAGAGACTGGACGTTCTTTACACTGGGGACCACCAAGCCCTCTGGCGTATCCATGGCAATGCCAATATTATGTGCTGCCTACAGGATTCAAATATTCTGATTAAGATTCAGTAAGAAATATGTTCATGTATATGCAGATTCTTTTTCAAATACTGAATAAATATAATTTTATATTTATTGTTTTAATTTTCTGTTGGGAAGCTGCTATACATTGGAAGTTTTACCTTGTATGTAATGTTTTCACAATTTTCGTCCACACTCGAGTTTAGGATTGGATATTCTGATAAAGCTAATGATACAGCCTACAAACAAATAAAGTTCATAAATATATTTGGTCAAATTCAGTTAAACCTATTAATTATATCTTATAAATTTATAAATAAAATCAATCAAAGTCTGTGTGATAATTAGTCTACATCATTTTCAATTAAATACTGCTCATAATGTTAAAAACCAAGGCTTCCCCATCATACCTTGATGATAACTGGCATGTAAGAGAAGCGGACCTCGGATTTCTCCATCACACTCTTAATGTCGCTGCGGAGCTCGACTAGTTTGGACATATCCACCTCATCATTATACCCAAATGTAGGAATGTGCGCTGCCTGAGTCATCGTCTTCACCATGGCTTTACGGATTCCTTTGATGACTTCAGTGTAATCTTTCCCTACAGCAATTGTCTCCCTCTTGACTGGTGTAGGTAGAGGGGACAATTTCTGGGGAGGGGCTTTCTGGACTGGGGCTGGTGCTTGAGGAGCAGCTAAATTTAAATTGTCAAGATTTTTAAAAAGTTGAGGTACATATAATTATACACGTATGTAATGTTTTTTTGTCAAAACTTTTTTATCCTTTTACTTTTCTCTTCAAGTATTTAGATAATTTACTTGAATGATATTAATTTTTCAATTAGTACAAGCCACAAAAACATTTAACTTAAATTTTTGTTCATTTTGAATTTTGGTCCAGAGTTCATGTCAAAATTTTTATTATTACATTAAACTTAAAAGTAATAATAGGTTTATGAAGAAACCAAGTTCGCAAATGTATTGATACAGAAATACAAAGGTGAGAAATGGCTTACTCATTTTTGGAGCCTTTGCAGCGTGTTTATTCTGAATGAAGGCTAAGATATCTTCCTTCAAGACTCGGCCATCTTTACCTGTTCCTGGTACATCTCTCAAGTCAACCTGTCACACAATAAACAAGAGGCCCATGGGCCACATCGCTCACCTGAGCACATTGGCTAGGCAAAAGCACAAATCAGTTCAGTATTGAAAAGACCAGGGGGGGGGGGGGCTTTGTTGTACTTGAGATATATTCCTTTGTAAAAATTTGATCCCCCATTGTGGCTCCTCCCTATCCCAGGGGTCATCATTTGAACAAACTTGAATCTACACTACCTGAGGATGCTTCCATATCAATATGACTAAACATAGCTTTTCTGTTCTTGAGAAGAAATATTTCTTCTATATGTTCTTATGTAAAACTTTCCATCCCCCATTGGGCCCCGCCCTACCCCTGCGGGTCATCATTTGAACAAAATAGAATCTACACTACCTGAGGATGCTTCCATATCAAAATGACTAATAATGGTTTGCAGTTCTTCAGAAGTAGATATTTTCCTTTATATTTCTATGTAAAACTTTGATCCTCCATTGTGGCCCCGCCCTACCCCCGGGGGTCATGGTTTGAACAAACTTGAATCTACACTACCTGAGGATGTTTCCCTATAAATATGACTCATCATGGCTTTGCTGTTCTTGAGGAAGATTTTTAAAGATTTTTCCTATATATTTCTATGTAAAACTTTGATCCTCCATTGTGGCCCGCCCTACCCCCGGGGGTCATGGTTTGAACAAACTTGAATCTACACTACCTGAGGATGCTTCCCTATAAATATGACTCATCATGGCTTTGCTGTTCTTCAGAAGAAGATTTTTAAAGATTTTTCCTATATATTTCTATGTAAAACTTTGATCCTCCATATCGGCCCCGCCCTACCCCCGGGGGTTATGGTTTGAAAAAACTTGAATCTACACTACCTGAGGATGCTTCCACATGAATTTGACTCATCATGGCTTTGCTGTTCTGGAGAAGAAGATTTTTAAAGATTTTTCCTATATATTTCTATGTAAAACTTTGATCCTCCATTGTGGCCCCGCCCTACCCCCGGGGGTCATGATTTGAACAAACTTGAATCTACACTACCCGAAGATGCTTCCATATAAATATGACTCATCATGGCTTTGCTGTTCTTGAGAAGAAGATTTTTAAAGATTTTTCCTATATATTTCTATGTAAAACTTTGATCCCCCATTGCGGCCCCGCCCTACCCCCGGGGGTCATGGTTTGAACAAACTTAAATCTACACTACCTGAGGATGCTTCCACATGAATTTGACTCATCATGGCTTTGCTGTTCTGGAGAAGAAGATTTTTAAAGATTTTTCCTATATATTTCCATGTAAAGCTTTGATCCTCCATTGTGGCCCTGCCCTACCCCTGGGGGTCATGATTTGAACAAACTTGAATCTACACTACCTGAGCATGCTTCCACATGAGTTTCATCTTTCCTGGCCCTATGGTTCTTGAGAAGAAGATTTTTAAATGATTCCATTATTTTTTCAGTAATTCCTAATTATCTCCCCTTGAAAGAGGGCGTGGCCCTTCATTTGAACAAACCTGAATCCTTCACCTAAGGATACTTTATGGCAAGTTTGGTTGAAATTGGCCCAGTGGTTCTTGAGAAGAAGATGAAAATGTGAAAAATTTACAACAACAACGACAATGATGACAGACAACGGACAAATTTTAATCACAAAAGCTCACTTGAGCCTTTGGCTCAGGTGAGCTAAAAAGTCACAGCTTAACAAAATTTTTACATTGAATTAAGTACCTTCATGGAAATACAGATTTTGAAACTGAAATCTTCTAACAGTATAATCAAACAAATTGATATAACTTAAAAAAACTTTCAAACCTGAAATTTATGACTGCCTCTCTCTACTTGTGTTTTACATACCTACAATGTAGAGTTACCTGTCTTTAGCAGTTATCTACCTTGTTTTCCATAGCAAGCCTCCTGACAGCAGGTGTGGCCAGAGCACTTTTACCTTTGACCTTGTGACCCAAAAACTCTTCGTCTGAGGAGGCGTTCCCACTATCGACAGATTCAGAACTTGAACTGGCTACAAAATAAATTATTTATCAATGTCACTCAGAGCAGTAGTTTAAATCCTTCAATGAATATAGATCTATGTTTATATTCAGATGAACTTAACATATATTACAAGCATAATATTAAGTATGATTCTGATTTCATAATGGAGATACATGCACACAATGTCTCCTTATTTCCAGCACTGTATGACTCTTTGTATATAAATATATATATGCCAGTTTATGTACATGTGTTGCAGAAACCTGTTACAAAATAAAAGGTATCAAACCTGCAGAAAAATTTATCCCCTAAAAATGTAAATAATGATTATATACGGATATTCTGAGTGGGAGATGTAATTCAGTTTGCTGATTACTAACAAGAAGATCCATCATCAAGTTCAATGTCCACTAGAGGCTGTCCAACGAGGGCAACATCATCCACATCATAATATAGCCGTCTGATGTAGCCGTCATATCGACTAGTGATTGTCACTGAGGCCTTATCACTCTGGACTTCACATATACTGTCAAACTGATTCACATGGTCTCCCACTGTCACAAACCTATTTATAATTACAGCATTTAAATAGTAATAATTATAGTATCAATCATTTATACATTTCAGTTGATAAATTTTGTATTCAATTAGCAGTAGGACAAATTTTAAAAAACAATTTCTAGTCAAAGTAAGTCCAAAAGTATATCAATAAAATTTCCATGCAATTTTACACTGGCATCCGAGGAAAATTGCTGGTTTATTTCAGGTTTATTGAGATATAAAGTTAATGCACAAAAGAGTCAGGGTGTTTCTTAAAGGAAAATAAATGTAACCTTGTATTTACACTAAGGATATATGATATGTTTAGGATACATATTAGTGTTCATACTGACCATTCCTTGATGTGGACCTCTCGAATTCCCTCCCCAATGTCGGACAGTTTGAATTGTTCAATGTCTCCATAAGTCACTGTAATGTAACACTGCTGAGTAAAATTTTCTACTTATCACAGAAATTAAAATTATGGTTTAAACCAAATAAATTGTTAAAAGTGTGCTGAACGAATAGGACCACCTGCTCCCTTGCATTTAAGCCTTTATGGGAATCAAATTACAGGACAACACATCAAGTGTGTGATTATGAAGGGAGAAAGGGAAGGAGCAATAATGCAAGGGTGACAACATGAGAAAGAATGGATGAAGAATGCTGTGAAGGGAGGGACAGTGATAAAGTAAAGATGTGAGAATATGAACAAGTAAAAGAAAATGTAAAAAAGTGAAGGAGGAAGAATGCCACTGTGAGAAAGCAAGAAATAATAAAGCACAGGAGTGAAAATGCAAGGGAACCAGGGAAACAAAGCAATGAGCATAAATGCATGGGTGATTGAGCAAAATGTATTTAAGGACAAGGGAGGAAGTTTATTTTTTTTCTGTTCCATTCAAGTTTATGCTCACTCCTTTGTGTTTTCAACCTCACTTTCTCCCTCTTTGTCACCCTTACAATCTTGCTCCATAAGGTTAGAAACAGAGCGAGTGTGTGGCATTATCAGTACACCATATAAAAAGGATTTATCAAAGGGCTTGTTATACAATGCAGTGATTACATACAACTTAACTTTTATCTTCACTTTTTCATTATCATATATTAAAACAATAACAAGCAGGATATTTAACATGGAAATGTAACATCCATTAAATTTTCATATCAAACTGACCACTTCATACCTGAACTGGAGTGAAATAGTCTATGGTTCAGAGTGATCCTCTCTAAGTTTGGCTGCGCCCATTTACTGTTGATGGGAGTTCTAAATTGTCTCCCTTGAATCTGTCAGAAAATTAAACATTGCAATGCACTGCATTATAACTGATTTATAACATTTTCATGCGAAATGTCACTTAAAATAAATTCATGTCATATTCAAGGTAGGTTCTTTTACAAACTACAATTATACTAGTGATGGAAAACTTATAACAGTTATATAGTTATAGTAATACATGTAAAGTTTTGCTGTAGATCTAGGCCCAATTTCCATTTCACACAGAGTAATCTATTGTTGATTCAGCTTTTGTAAGTTATAATATAAATTCTTGTAAACTGATCCACATATGCCAAGAGACTATTGATGCATGTTAAATGTACTTACGACGCATCGGCCCTGTTGAAAACATTTTCTGTACAATCTCCTTGAAACCAGCGAGGATGCCATTGAGTATGTAGATAGAGAATGGTAAAATCTAGAGGAATTTCGAATACAGCCAAAGTCAATAAAACGCTTCAAATGAGGAATTTTAACAAACGTCTTATCAACATCGAATTGTCATAAACAAAATGGAAAAGTATGAAAAGATTCGCGTTGTCGGCAGAGGAGCCTATGGGTAAAAAATGTTATTATTTGTAACTTTGAAATTTTGTATTTGTTTTTGATGGCGTCCAAGAAAAAAGTACGAACATTCTGAATATTCATTTTTCACTGGGTTTTTAAACAGACCTAATTTTGTCAAGTGTGATTAAAGGAAATTCGAAATAATAATGGTAATGAAATACATTGTCCCTCATAATGATAAATTCCGACTTCGACAACTTCTTTATTTTCATCAGTGAGAAACTTCATATTTTAAACTAGCCTGATATACATGTATTAATTCAAACAAACCAAAGTAAAAATTTAAAGTCGCGTATGGCGTATTTTCGATAAGAATTAAAAAGATCTTTCTATTTGTTTTATTACTTCATATAAAGATAGGACTTTCCTGTAAATTACACAATTTAATCAATTGCGTTTCATAGATATTAGAAATTTAAACAATAGCCGCTTTATTTACCGATCCCGCATTTAAATATCAGACACAGTTTAAAGTCAATTTAACTATAGAAACATGGGGTTATTCAAGTTCCAAATCGATGAACATTTTAATTTTAATCTCTAGGGTTCTCCGTTTAGCAGTACCCCATAATTAACAAATATCATGTTCATCTACACTCAGTCTAATATATTTATTTTTTTAGCTCAGATATGCCATATACAGCTTAAAAAAGTCAATCATTTGTATGATTGACATGCATATATTTATATAAATTTTAAGTTTACTTCCTCTGTTTGGATACATATTTCAAAAACACACCATGCATATAAATAATGATTCAAGATACACAATTACTGTAACAGAAAAAAATATGATGTAGTTTATCTTACAACTAACAATGCTGAAAATAGTGAAATATGCTTTCCAGGACAGTGCATCTGTGTCAGAGATTGGCTGATAAGAAAATGGTCATTATCAAACAGATACCAGTGGAACAAATGACGAAGGAGGAACGGCAGGCAGCCTTGAATGAGGTCAAGGTCTTGTCAATGTTGTCTCACCCAAACATTATCCAGTACTATGAGAACTTTCTGGAGGACAAGGCTCTAATGATTGTCATGGAATATGCACAAGGTTTTTACACATTGCTTTGTGGTTTCTCATACTACTTTTTTAGAATTTTGTTTTTGGAGAGAACTTGATGTTTCTAATCAATATTCATATAAAATCATTTTCTTATTTACAGGAGGAACTGTGATGGATTATCTGCAATCTAGAAATGGCATTTTATTGGAAGAAGAGGTAAAATGTAAACCTGTCTTCTCTCTTAAATCTTAAGTATGGGTTTTTGAGTATTTCTAAATGTTATAAGTAATAGTTGCAGGTAAAAAATTTATTTTATTTACTCTGTTAAAATGGTTTATCTAAAAATATTTTTTTCATTTTTTTTTAGGAGATCCTGAAGTTTTTTGCCCAAATGCTTCTTTCCATTCAGCATGTTCATTCAAAACAAATTTTGCATCGAGACTTAAAGACTCAGAATATTCTACTGGACAAAAAGAGGGAGGTGGTCAAGATAGGGGATTTTGGAATTTCAAAAGTTCTCAGCAGCAAAAGTAAAGCTTATACTGTAAGTATTAAGTTAGAACTGAATAAAAACAGTGATGGTGATGGTATAATGTACTGAGAAATATAAAAATCAAATATTGAAGAAAAATGGTGAAAAGTAACTAAGGCATTTTTAATTTTATACCACCAGATACTATCATCAAACTCTTAGGGCATAGGCATTTCAGGTGTTCTTTTTTTTGTTTGTAGAATTGCAGTAAAGTAAAGAGCAATAATCAATAAAGTAATTTAATTTTGATTGGAGTTTTTATAGACAGTGTAATTTCTCTGAATTCTGTATAGACTTGCTTGACTTTGAATCTCCTCTGTCTTTTGGCTGTTATTCCCATTTTGTTCCTTGTAGGTTGTTGGAACACCTTGTTACATCTCTCCGGAGCTGTGTGAGGGAAAACCGTATCCTTACTGAATATATTTTGTGAAATCAATATGTATACATATGATAAAGCCCTGAGTATTGAAAGATTTCTTATTTTAAAACAAGTACTTACCTTGACTACTGAAGTTATAACCAGAAGAGCGATATATGGGCCCTGGGGTGTGTACTGTATGAACTGGCCAGTCTAAAAAGAGCATTTGAGGCTGCAGTAAGTTACAGTAGGAAGTTATAAATCACTATCAAGGGGAGATTTAGGAAGATCAAGTTTAGCAGATGTAAGGAGAGACAATGAATAACAAGTGAATTACTTCTCCTTTATATAAATACTTGAGATTTTCAGCTATATAATTATTACGTTATAATGATTGTCACAAAGAATTAATCAAGAAATTAAGCTTTTTAGACTTAAAAACAAGAAATTTTTTTATGTTGAATAATTTTATTGAATCATGTATACTTATACATGTGTATCTATATTACAGAACTTGCCAGCTCTTATCCTGAAAATTATGCGAGGAACATTTTCTCCAATCTCTGCAAATTATAGTGAGGAGTTAAGGGCCTTGATTCTGGGTATGCTTCACCTGGACCCCAATAAGAGACCAAACATTAATCAAATCATGGCGCAGCCCATCGTAATTAATGCTTTAATGACCTTACACACAGACTTGGGGAGAATTCCATGTACCAAGTAAGTCACAGCCCATCGTAATTAATGCTTTAATGACCTTACACACAGACTTGGGGAGAGTTCCATGCACAAGTAAGTCACTTTGACTGGGTTGATAGAGATTATATTTATGCCCCCTCCCCCCACCATCAAACCAGTATTTACTCAGAATAATCATAACATTAAAAAGGGTAAAAAAATTACAAGACCAAGTTTTAATAGTCATTGACAGATCGATATATTAACAGTAATTTTTTAGGAAGCTATGAAATAATACTATAACCTGCAACCTAGAAGTTTGTTCAGTGAAAATAATTGTTACTGGTACAAACACATTCTTCTGTACATGTACTTTGTTACTGGTACAAATGCATCATGCTCTATACTCTGTTTTCTGTTACAGAGTCAGTCGCCCCATCCCTCCCACCACTGCTGCGAGAAGTCGAATACCAACACGGGGCAGCATGACACCAAGAGGTCTGAAAATGTTTTTTTAAGAAGTGCTGTAAAATTGTTCTTTTATTCTCAGATTCTTTGAAATAAGATAATTTATGAAAGAGGGGTCAGGTGTAGAGTGGATATTAAAAAGTTTATCTTCATGAAAGAAAGCTAATACTGATTTCAAAGACTTGAATTTATGTCAGTGTTTTTACTTACTAAAATGTACACCTTGCATGTCATATTTTTTTGGCAAGGGAGAAGTTCTCCTGTTTGTCAAAGTTGGATGTACATGTATATACTATTTTTTTTTTCATTACAGATGCTCTGTCTGCAAAACCCCCAGCACTTAGTTCTGTGTTTTTCTGGGGGATAGGTGTTTCTTCTCCAATAAAACTCCCCCTCCCCAGCAGTGATACACAGGTCATCCAGGTTTCAACAGGGCGTACACAGAAAGCTGCTGTCACCAAGAATGGTCGACTTTTTGTGTGGGAGGTATACAAACAAACATAAAGTACATGTATATTGAATTCACACAATGAGAAACACTTCCAATGGTCATACTATTGTGTAAGAGAAGAAAACTTGTACATGTATTTCCAGTCCTCCACGGTGGGTACAGACACTCTGATCCCTGGAGCCACAGAGAGCCACACCCCTACGTATGTGCCAAGGTATTTGGAAGGTCAATCAGGGGTCAATATTCAACATGTTGCATGTGGTGGTCTCTTCACAGCTTGTCTCACAGGTAATTTATATTACACTTAATGAAATGTAGAATGTTGGATGCAGAAACATGTATGTATTTGCTATTTAATGGATGATTAAATAAAATACTGAGGTACAGTACAAATATAAATGTATATACAGTACAATTCGCTTATTATCATAGTTTATTTGTCAGGCCAAAACTTTATAATAAGCGACTTTTATAATAACCATAGTCGGCTGAAATTCATGTCGGACGGCTGACGATACGATGTTTGTGTAAATTATTAGATGTATTATACATCTTACGTTACATATAATTTCGATTTTTTAGGTTTATTTGAAATACAAGTTAACTGACATATCATTTCACAATACTTACTTCCTGTTTCAACTTTTTATTATAAATAAATTCACTTAAATAAAGCTTAATACGCTTCAAACTCAATCTTCTAGATCCCTTGGCATCCATCTTGTTTATTTTGATCTACTTTCACTTTTAATTTATGGTCAATTCAAATTACCAATGTTTCGTTTCGTTTTTCTTTTTTGTTTTGTTTTTTGTTTTGGTCACATATTAAATAAATTAACACAGCAACAAAGCATGCATTCAAATTGTTTCTTTTATTCATCCAAAGTAGACATTAAAAAAATTACCTATTTACACTTAATGTCGCCGTATAATTAAAATTAATTGATACACTGATGAGCACATGCATTAAAAGCCGCTTGGGCAGACTGGTGAAAGAGTTAATTTCACTTAATTATTTCTTAATTAATCTGGTAGTTTTGTAAATGTAATTAACTATGAACATTGATCCAGGCACCAAGCGTAAGAAAGCTTGGGTTAATATTGACACTAAATTTAGTTTCAACACATTTGGTAAAACGTATTTATTACGAACGTAAAATTCAGGAATAACATAAGAAGAAAATAAGTTATGAAAAAAAAGAGTTCGTGTTATCCTGTCATGTACTTCATGAAATAAACAGACTCCCTGTCAATCGCTCAGGTAAGTGCACTGAAGTGTGACTAATCTCCCCAGTCTTTCACTATCGGCAAATTTCAAAGTGAAAATCAAGC